CTAAGTGATCGCTCGGAAGGCAAGAGTTAGCGCAAAGCACAGGGCCTGGCGCAGGGCAGGCCTTCCACAAGTGTTCCCCAAATTACTGCGGCAGGAATCTAAATATAGGCAATGAAAGATGGAGGACACCCAAACGGGGCTGGGAAGCTCAACGACCGCAAAGCCTGAGCACCCCCTACCCCGCCCAGCATGTTGGGGGCGGGGGGCGCTGCGGGGGTAGAGGGGGAGGGGGAGGGGGAAACAAGTGCCTCGTGCCCCCTGCTGGCTCCTCCTGGGCTACCCTCCGCTGCCCTGGATAGACAGGAACCACAACTCCCAACAGCCCCACGGACAGCAACCCTCTTACACCGAGGGCTCTTGTGCCTCAAGGCCTTATGGGAGTTGGAGTCCTCGTCCTCCCGAGACTGACAAGTTTTCCGGCCAAGGAATGTGGCAAGCCTGGGTCTCCTCCACGCCTCTGTAAAACCCCAAATGCATGACTGATCCTCTCTGCGCAAGGCTCCTTCCCTCGGGGATGCTCACCCTGGGCTCCATCGAAGAAGTAGGAGTCTGGATGGGAGACGAATAAGCTCCCCCTCCCAGAATAGCTTGCCACGCAAGCCCCTCACCCTCGCTGGCACATGTGTGTTCACATGTTGGAAGCAGAGCCCACACATTCCAACTGGCTTTCTGGGTACACCTGAACACAAGAGACCACAGCCAGGGAACCTAAGGCTGAGGGGCGGGCTAAGGGCAGGAGATAGGGGAAGCAAAGGATCAGACAGACATTAAGGACACCAGGCCAGAGTAAGTGAGGCGCAAAAATCCCCTGAAACTCCAGGGAATGGGGAAAGCAGCAGCATGGGAGAAAGCCTGGAGCCCACAGAACTTGGGGGGGGGGGACAAGCAAGTAGCTCTGGAGAGGGTGTGGGGACTCAGGACCTGAAGGTCCTCGGGGTCCAGTCTCTTGCATCCATTGCTCACACGTGCACGATGCATGTGTACACACATGTGTGAGTTTGTGGCAGGGAACATGTGTGTCCTCAGCTCCCTCCCCTGAGAAGCTGCAGTTCCCACTAAATATAACCCCCTCCCCAGCCTGTGACTCACCCGGACCCCGCCTCCCCGGCCCCCACTTCCTGTCCCACCCCCCAACCCCCAGCTGCCTGCCACCCGCCCAAGCCTCCCTCCACACACCAGGCATCCAGCTTGCCAGTCCCAGAGTCTCACAGCCAAGACCTAGGTATTCTGCATCCCACCAGGAGCTTGCCTGTGCTCCCCATCCAAGATCTGCCCTTTCCAAGGCTCCAACCACAGGGACACCCTCGTCCAGTCCTCGACCGCTGCCAGCCCTGCCCTCCTCCAACTCCTTTCCACCCCGGTAACCTGAAATCCAGGTGTCCTCCCCCACCTTGATCCCAAGAGTCAGGGGTAAGAGGAACATTCTCCTCCATCTGCTCTTCTCCCTCTTCCTCAACAGGGGTGGATACAGTGTGGGAGGAGACAGGGATATTGAGCACCTGCCTGGGCCACCCCCAAATTCTGCACCACCCACCTGGTCCCCCTCCTCAAATCCCCCGTCTCCCCCGAAAGCGCTCATCCTCCTCCTCCTCAGGGTCTGGCAACCTCCGCTGCTGCAAGCTTCTCCCTCCCATGGGAGTACCCCAAATCCTCACCTCACCTGGTCCATTCCCTCAGGTGATCCTATGTCAGGCCCTAGCCCTCTGACAACTCCCAACAGTCCCCATTCTATAAGATTGAACCCTAAATGACCAGCTCCCTGTAATTGAGCATACCCCCAAATGTCTCTACCACGAGATGCTTGTTCTATAGGCTGAAGGCCCACCCCTTCTCTGCCCGCTGACACCCCCAGACCAGCCAGGCACTCACAACCAATAACCGTCTACCCCCATGCCAAGAGCCCCCTGAAATTGGACGAGACACCTAGAAGCCAGTTTGTCCCCCAGGAGGGTAGAGAACCCCCCTCACACAGTCCACCTTCTAATGTACAAGAGCAAGACTCCCCTGTCAGCCAGGCTTCTTCTTAAATAAGTCTCCCTCAAACATCGTTGGTGAACCCCAAAACCCATTAGCCCCCCCAAACCACAAAACAGCCCAAATTTTCCATTTCTCTACAGGTACAAAGGGCTCACTCCAGGGGGCACCTGTGGCCAAACCCAGCATTATCTCAGATGTGAACCCCAAAACTAAATCATGACCCCCAAATACATCTTCTGATGCTGTCACTCCAGGGCCCCCAGCCCGAGATGAGGCCTGCCTAACCCCTCCCCACAAACTCATGCCCTCCTCCCAGTGTATAGCCCCCCCATCATGCTTACCTTGGTTGTCACTATACAGAGACAGTCCATGTTGGGGGGGCTGGCCGCGGCGGCGGGTAAGGGGCTCTGACTTCATCGGAGTTTCGTTCCTCCCCTCCGTGGGTTCTCACCCCTCCCCCCTCCGCACCCCACTTTTGCAGGGGGGGCCAGGATGGGGGGAGGGGTGAGAGGGGAAAGAGGGGGTTGGAGAAGGGAAGGGGAGGGGAACGTGGGAGGGAGGGGAAGGGGGCCCTAAAAGGGGGTCCCCAGTGGAGGGGAGGGGGCTTGGGGAGCACACCCCGATTCTCAGGAGGGGCGGGGGCACCGGGGGCTGGCAGCCCCGGAGTTCGGGGGCTGGGGCATGAGCTGGGGTGGGGGAGGGGAACCGGATTTCGGGGAGCCCCGGGGTAGGGGAGGGTCTTGCCTAACGGCCAGGGGCTAGGGGCCGTGGCGGGGGGAGTGGGGTGGGGGGGTCGGAGGCGGCAGCGGCCGAGGGAGCCGTGGAGCCGAGGAGGGAAGGGGAGAGAGGAGGAGAGAGGAAGCAGGGGGAGGGAGGGAGGGAGCGAGGAGCGCGGATGGGGGGGTGCCTTGGCCGAGTTAACTGCTTCGGTGCTGGCAGGAGCCCGGATAACGGGAGAGGAGGGAAGTGCAGCAGCAGAGGGCCCCTGAGGCAAAGATGGAGGCCTGGCCAGGCACCAGCGCACGGAACAGAGACCAGGAGGATGGCTTCAGTTTCTCAGGGCAGCGAGCACCCCGAAGTGGGGCCGGGAGCACCCATGCTCCTTTCAGTACTGGGGGGGGAGGGGGCCTGGCAGGGGGCAGGGCCTGAGGGAGGGGGGCTGGCAGGAGGGGATCCCCGGGCGGGGGGCGAGTTCTCCCTCAGGAAGCCTGAAAAGTAATTCGGTCCTGGACTCTTTAGTGCCTGAAACTGGGGCCCAGGAAAGCGGGGGGAAGCAGGAGGAAGAAGGGGCTACAGGACGGGGGTGGGGGAGAGGAGACTCAGGAGTGTGTCCCCAGGGCCCCCAAGTCGTCAATGTGAGCTCAGCTGTCCAGCCCTGCCTGCCCGCTCCCTGAGGAAGCGGCCCCACCTCACCCCCTTACCTGGCTCTCCGAGATGGAAGCCTCATAAAAGTCCAGGATGTCTGTCACCAGAACAGAGCTGAGTTACCCTCCCCCACCCCTGCCGCCCTGGCCACCCCTGCCACCATCTCGCCTCCTGGTGTCTGGTAAGGGAGGAGCTCCTCCAGCCAGGGCGGCTGGATCCTGATGGAGGACGGTCAGGACGACTGACCCCTGCTTGGACTCCTGCTTGCCCCCAAGTTCGGTCACTGCCCTAGCAGGCCCAGGCCAGCCCTTGCCACCACTGCCCCTCAGAAAATTGGGGCTACTCACCCAGCAAGGCCTGGAAGAGGTCACTGTGCAGCACGGTGAGGAGAGGGGGTGCCCATCGCAACAGTGGGGGGGCCAGGAGCCAGAGGGCTGAGCGGGGAGCTGGTGAAATGCAAGTGAGGGAGGAGGGGGTCAAGGAAGAGACAGGGGGACCAGCACATTCATCTTCCCCAGCCTGTGCCCTCTCGCCCCAGAGTCTATGGGAAGGTTCAGGAGAAGGGTCCCCGAATCCCAACCCCCAGCCCACCCCACTCCGCTCAGCCCCCAGGCCTTTCCTCCACGGGACTCTTGAGTTTCACCTCTGGGTCTCTCGGACATCTCTCCCCTCTGACTTTAATCTCCCTAATCCGCAGGGTTGGAGCTGAGCTGCTTCCCCACCCAGTTCTAGCTGTTAGCTGAAGTGGGCAGTCCCATCCTTCCCCTGGCTCCTCGCACGCTGGCCTCTCTCCCCAAAGCCAGGGGTGAGTTTGCTATACTTCCCAGAGGAACTGGGGACGGGGGCCACCCCCAAGGAGGCTCCTGCAGCCCCAAAGGAAAAGCAGGTGAGCCCAGATCTCTCCTGGGTGTGTCCCCAGTAAGGATGGCAGGGCAGAGGTATAAATTACCTGGGATTCCTTGACCTAGGGGTAGAGAAGTAGGTGTGTGTGTGAAGGGGGGGTGGGGGGGGGGATGAGAATTCCTACAGTTCCTCTCAGGCTGGGAAGAATCCAGTATGTCAGAGATCTAGCCTAAGCACAGAGTCTTAGGAAGGAACAAGGGCACAGAGAGACGTACAGGAAGATCTCAAAGGCCCTAAAGGGGAGGCAGTGAATTTGAGGAGGGGAGCAGGGTCTCCTGTGAAAATTCAGGTGTTTCCAAAGTTAGTGACACCTCCTAGGTCTCAGAAGAATATGCTTGGGTCCCCCCTCCCCACCATGTCCCTCCTCTTCGTGTTGATGGAGACGAATTTCACAAGGGACCCCGAAGGGTTGTCTTTCCCTCCTTCTGCCTCTGGCGTTTATCTTACACTCCTTTCTTCCCACCTATCCCTGAACAACTCCACCTGGGAAGTCCTCCTTTTGGTCTACCCTCCACCCTTCTGGCTGCAGTCGCCTAAGCTCCTCCCTCTTCCGCCCCAGCCTATTCCATCACCCCTTCCGAAGGCTACACTCTAGTTCGGACGCGCGCGATGAAGGCGTTTGGGGGAGACGGGGACGTTTGGAGATCGCTCTAGGTCAACCAGAATGCAGGGGCGAGGGGGCGCCCCGGAACTACATCTCCCAGCATGCCCGGGAGACCGGAAGCCCCGCCCACCCGCCTCCCGGTGCATTGTGGACGATGAGTCAAGACAGGACGGGGGCTGCCAGACTTCAGTAGACGGGCCGACCGCGGTAGGTCCGCGCTCGAGTCAGCGGCGGCCGGAGCGGCTCGGAGATGCAGGCGGCACGGATGGCCCCGAGCGTGGGGCGGCAGCTGAGGAGGTTGGGGGTCGGAAGGTGCGTGCTGGACAGGAGGGATGGGGCGGGGGCGGGTGGCAGCGGGCCTGGGGACCGGGCCAGGACTGAGCCCCCTCTCCCCCCAGCTCGCGGCCCCGTGCGCCCGTGTGGCAGCCCCCGCCCGGCCCGGCCCGCCGACCCTATGCCAGCGGGGCCGCTCAGGTGAGTGACGGCGGCCTGGGAGTGGGGGGTCCGCCTGGGCTTCCCCTTCCCCGCCGCCGGCAGGGGTCTCCCTCTCCGTCCCGGGCACCTGCCTCCCGGCCTGGCACCGAGAAAGTAGGGGAAAGGGCAGGCCAGGGTGCCCTGATGTCGGAACTAGGGGAAAGGTCGCCGCAGCCGTCCTCCGCCGCTCCCCAGCTCTTCCGCTGGGCTCTCCTCGGCTCTTCGGAAGCCCTTTCCCCGGCCTCGCTAACTATCCCTTTCCCCAGGCGGTTCTGGAGAAGTCCGATTCCTCCACCCCCGAGGCTTCGACCAGGGAGAAGCAGGCCAAGGCGGTATGTGGCCTCCGGGCCGGGAGGAGCTAGGCCAGGGGTTCACCCTCCCCAGCAGACAGCTCCCTGAAACCGCCTTCTCCCTGTGCAGGAATCGAAGTCCTTTGCTGTGGGGATGTTCAAGGGCCAGCTCACCACCGACCAGGTGTTCCCCTACCCGTCTGGTAAGGGGTAGTCAGAGCTGGGTGGGGCGGGGCAGCGTCCCTCGCCGGCCCAGTGACCTGACCAGCCTGTTCCCCGCCTCCCCCCCCCCCCCCCCCCCCCCAGTGCTCAACGAGGAGCAGACACAGTTTCTCAAAGAGCTGGTGGGGCCGGTGTCCCGTTTCTTTGAGGTGAGGAATGACTTGGGTGGGGGAATACAGGGCTTTGGTCCCTGATGGGGTGGGAGCAGTGTTGAACAGCTTAAAGGGAGCCTGGATGGCAGCATCCTGTGCCTTCTCCAGGAGGTGAACGATCCTGCCAAGAATGACATGATGGAGAAGGTGGAGGAGACCACCATGCAGGGCCTCAAGGAGCTGGGGGCCTTTGGTCTGCAAGTGCCCAGCGAACTGGGTGGTGTGGGCCTCTGCAACACGCAGGTGAGGGAGGTCGTCGCCCCCCCCCCCCCGCCCCGCCCCGTTGCCAGCATCCCAGTCTACTGCAACTTTGTGGATTAAGCTCCTTTCTTACCTGACCCAGGATCCAGGTTTGTGAAGTAACCGCCCTTGTGGCCTCTCGGATGGTGACTACCAGTCCACACACATTGTTCCAACAAACCGTTTCCAGACGTACACCTTTCCATACACCAAACTATGTGCTTCCTTTAGGGCCACGGACCTCACCTAAGTTCACAAGTCCCAATGGGAGGGACTGACAAATAGGGTAGGAAGCTCCCTACCAGGGTCCCTCTCTGCCATGGGGACATTTCTTCTCTCCAGTCACCGTGTGGGAATGCCCTGCCCTGTTGACTGCACTTTCCTGCTAAGGCCCCCACGGGGCAGCCAGTAACAGCCCCAGAGGCCTGCTTTCCTCCCGCAGTACGCCCGCTTGGTGGAGATCGTTGGCACGCATGACCTTGGCGTGGGCATCACCCTGGGGGCCCATCAGAGCATCGGCTTCAAAGGCATCCTCCTCTTTGGCACAAAGGCCCAGAAAGAAAAATACCTCCCCAAACTGGCATCTGGTGAGGCAGCCCCAGGAGACCCAGGGGGGACTGGGGGTGTCCTGGGCTTGGTACAAATGAGGCTGGTGGTACGGAGGTCACCGCTTAGCTGGGCGCGTCGGTTGGGGGAGATTCTGGGAAGGCTTCAGTGTGCTGGTGGGGAAACGTGAACCTGACTGTGGCTAGAAGCATCGAGGCTGCCTGTGGGCAGGGTGGGGACAGTGAGGGGCCTCTGATGCCCATTGGGACCCAGTTTAAAGGCGCTCTCTCCCCAACAGGGGAAACCATAGCTGCTTTCTGTCTAACCGAGACCTCCAGTGGGTCCGACGCAGCCTCCATCCGAACTTCAGCCGTGCCCAGCCCCTGTGGGAAATATTATACCCTCAATGGAAGCAAGCTTTGGATCAGGCAATCCTCCCCCACCCCCTGCCTTTGTCTCTTCTCCACCTCTTCCCAGTTTCAGGCCCCACTGCTCTGTCCCCCGCACCCTGACTGCCCCTCATTTTTCCATAGTAACGGGGGCCTGGCAGATATATTCACGGTCTTTGCCAAGACACCAGTCACAGACGCAGCCACGGGGGCCGTGAAGGAGAAGATCACAGCTTTCGTGGTGGAGCGGAGCTTTGGAGGTGTCACCCAGTGAGTGGGTTTGGGGAGAAGATGGAAGCGGAGCCAGGCTGGGGCACAGCACTGTGGTCCAGGGCAGATGGTGTCCCAGGTCACCCTGGGGATGTGTGCAAAACCCAGAGCAGCCGGATGGCATGTTCTCTTTGGGATTAAGCTGCACGGAACTCGTATAAAGCTTGGCTCCTGCAGCCAGTGAGCCGAGCATCTGGTAGGCTAGAGAACCAGCTGTGCTCATCCTCCAAGCATGCCGGCCCTGCCGCCTACACCTTCTCCCGTGCTGGCAGCCGCAGTAACCCCCGGCTCCCACAAAGTGACCCCCGCCCCACGGCAGCCTGCCGAGCACACCTCTGCTTCTTTGCCCTGTCACAGCGGGCCCCCCGAGAAGAAGATGGGCATCAAGGCCTCGAACACGGCAGAGGTGCACTTTGACGAGGTACACGTGCCGTCGGAGAATGTGCTGGGCGAGGTGGGGGCCGGCTTCAAGGTTGCCATGCACATCCTCAACAACGGAAGGTTCGGCATGGCCGCGGCCCTCGCGGGCACCATGAGGGGCATCATTGCTAAGGCGGTGAGTGCCCTGCTTGAGCTCCAGCTGGCCGGAAGCAAGGTCGCCCTGTCCCCCTTCCCCGGGGGGGGGGGCTGTCCCTCCCCTCCCCCTGGGCTCGGGTCTCCGTGCAGCCTGTCCCTCTCCTGGCGGGGAGAAACTGCAGAACCCCACTGCGACACACGGGCTCTCCTCCAGGTGGACCATGCTGCTAATCGTACCCAGTTTGGGGAGAAAATTCACAACTTTGGGCTGATCCAGGAGAAGCTGGCCCGGATGGCTGTGCTGCAGTACGTGACTGAGGTGAGGGTCCGCCCACAGCCCGAGCCCCGAGCCCCAGGCCCCGGGCCCTCCTCCTAGCCGGTAGGACTACAACTCCCAGCAGCACCTGGGGCAGTGGGTCTCCAGCTTTACACCAATGCCCTAGGGGATGCGGGGAGGCGTGGTCAGCGCCGAAGGGCGAGGGCCGAGTCGTCGTTCTTCGGAGGTCCCTGAAGCTGATCCCACCTGCGCCCCCACCTACCTCTTCTCCTCTTCCAAACAAGTGCAGTACCTAGAAGCCCCCAGTGGGCTGGCTCAGGGGACCAAGTACGTGCCTGACAGGTGGAGCTAGGTGGTGAAGGCAAGGGCCTCGAGGGTAGGGCAGACCTGGTCTTGGGAGCTCTGGGCGATCGGGGTGAGTCTGACACCATCCTTTTCCTTCCCACGCCCCAACCGTGCAACCTCAGTCCATGGCTTACATGGTGAGTGCCAACATGGACCAGGGAGCCACGGACTTCCAGATCGAGGCCGCCATCAGTAAAATCTTTGGCTCGGTGAGGTCCCCGGCCTATAGGGCGGGAGAGCCCAGGGTGGGAGCCTGGCTCTACGACCCATCTTACGTGGTTCTCGGTCCCCAGGAGGCGGCCTGGAAGGTGACCGATGAGTGCATCCAGATCATGGGCGGCATGGGCTTCATGAAGGTACGGGATGGTGCTCTGCCTGGGGCGGCCGCCGCGGTAACAGGAGGGGCGGGCGGGCGCCACTCAGCAAGGCCGTGTGTTCTGGCTTCCCCCATGGCAGGAGCCTGGGGTAGAGCGCGTTCTCCGAGACCTTCGCATTTTCCGGATCTTCGAGGGGACCAACGACATTCTCCGGCTCTTTGTGGCTCTGCAGGGCTGTATGGTAAGAGGGAACTCGGGGAGGAAGGAGGGAGAAGAGCACATCTTGACTCTTAGGCTCTTCTCCCACGCAGGACAAAGGAAAGGAACTTTCTGGACTTGGCAGTGCTCTAAAGAATCCCTTTGGGAATGCCGGCCTCCTGCTAGGAGAGGCAGGCAAACAGCTGAGGAGGTAAGCCTGAGTGGGGCCGGGCCGGGGCCGGGCCAGGGCGGGCTGGGGGGTGGTGACTAACCGGTCACATTCCCCCTTCCTCGAAGGCGGGCAGGGCTGGGCAGTGGCCTGAGTCTCAGTGCTGTCATCCACCAGGAGCTGAATCGGAGTGGAGAGCTGGTAAGCACTCGGGGGACGGGGGGGGGGAATGGGGGGGACGGCAGCCCGTGTCGGGGGGCAGGTGCGGCTGGGCCCTCTGAGCTCTGGTGCCTTCCCTCTCTGTTCAGACAGTGAAGGCTCTGGAGCAGTTTGCCGCTGTGGTCGAGGCCAAGCTAATAAAACACAAGAAGGGAATTGTCAGTGAGTGAGCCCTGCCCCGTCCCCTCCTTTCCCTCCTCCCCCAGCCCCCCCCACCTTTCACCCGCCGACCCCGGCCCGTCTACCTGACAGATGAACAGTTCGTGCTGCAGCGTCTGGCCGACAGTGCCATTGACCTCTACGCCATGGTGGTAGTTCTGTCCAGGTGCGGCAGTGGCTGGGGCGGGGGAGGTGGCCCAGGCAGCGGCGGTGGGGGGTGGGGGTGCCCGGGCCAGGCTCATGGCCCAGGTTTGTTTGCCCTTCCTGCTTGGCGCCAGGGCCTCAAGATCCCTGAGCGAGGGCCACCCTACAGCCCAGCATGAGAAGATGCTCTGTGACAGCTGGTGTATCGAGGTGAGATTCGGGGTCACCCAGGGCAGGCGGGGGGTGCAAGGCGCGGGCCTGAACCCCCCCTCCTGTGTCCCCAGGCGGCGGCCCGGGTCCGGAAGAACATGACCGCCCTGCAGTCTGACCCACAACAACAGGAGCTGTTCCGTAACTTCAAGAGCATCTCCACGGCCTTGGTGGAGCGAGGCGGCATGGTCACCAGCAACCCCCTGGGCTTCTGACTGCTGCCCGCCGCCAGGGCCTGGCCCGTGCCTTCTCAAGCCCAGCGCCCCCCACAGGCCCTGGTTCTGCCTTAAAGAGGGCCTGGCCCAGGGCCCCGCTGCTCTCACGGCCTCGCTCTGCCGGGCCTCCTCTTGGCCTCGCTGCCTGCCTCCCTCCCAAAGAAAGGAGCCAGAGGCGTGGGGAGTTTGCCCCTATTGTTTTATTTGGTTTTATACAAGTGACTAAATAAATAGAGTAACAAAAGCAGCTACGTGGGCCCCCAATACCGAACACCCCAGCTTCCTCTGACTGCTGGCTAGGGTGCCCACCCCCTTCCTCCTCCCAGCGTACCACTGCCCGCCCCCCACCCTGCCCAGGACACAGCTGACGCCCAGGGCGGGCACAGCAGGAGGTCACATTGTGGGGTTAGAAGAAGGGGCCCGGGAGACAGGGATTCTTCATATAAAAAAGGGAAGCGTCTACTGAAAAAATAGTCCAAAAAATGTACGAAAGTCTATTTCAACCCCCCCCAAAGGCTTATAAAAACAGTAAAGCTAAAAATAACCAAAGGTCCCTTACACACCCCCGAGGGCAGGGGAGGGACCAGGCACTGCCCGTGAGTCACGGTGGCAAGCCCCTCAGCCGGCAGGGGCCCTCGGCCAGGAGGGGTCAGACAGGACGGGCCGAGGAAGGAGATCCTGTGCGCTCTACATAACATCCACAAAGAACTCACTGGGGTTGCCCATAGCCATGTGGAAGCTTTGGCGGCTCGCTGTCAGCTCTGGGGGCACAGAGCCCAGGTCTCTGACCGGAGGGGCCCCCGGGGGCTGCACGGCTGGAGGGACAGGGGGTGGAGGCGGGGGCATCATGACCACCATCATGGGATTGTAGGGGAGGGCCATCCCCGGGGGCGGTCCGTAGGGATGGAGCCCAGGGTGGGCTCGGAGGTTGGGAGCACCCCCTGCCGAGCCCCTGGAAGGGGGAGGGCCCCCGTCAGCCCCGCCGGGATCCCCGCCCCGCCGGAGGCTGCCCCCGCGGCTGGAGGGCTCAGACTCACTGCCGCTGCCGGACTTGGACTCGGGGGCCCGCTCATCAGGCCTCCCTGGGCGCCCTGCCCCCCCATCGCTTCGCGTCGACCCACTGCTCCGGCTCCCTGTGGGGGGGTGGGGGGTGCGGCCACCTGAGCCCTGACCCTGCATCCCTCGGCCTCCCCGGCGCCCCCCCGGGGGCCGTCCCCAGGCGCAGTACTGGCGTGGGACAGTGACTCACCCTCGCTGTGCTGGCTGCTGGCGCTGCCCCCCCCGTAGGTGTAGGACGAGAGCTCGTGGTAGGGCGGCGGCTGGGGGCTGTACGGGTGGGGGGCCGGGTACTGGTATGAGAAGGTGGGCAGCAGGGGCCAGGGGGTGGCCCCGGGCAGAGGGGCCAAGGTGTCCTGGTCCGACGCCCCGCTCGAGCCGTCGTCGTTCAGGGACAGGCTGACGAGGTCTGGAACGCAGCAGAGGAGCGAGAGTCACTGCTTCGGAGGCGCCTTTTCCCCAGAACCATCCATGAGGGGGGCGAAGACGAGGGCCTCCGACAGGAAACTCCCCGTGGGCCCCCGCCGCCAGGGCACGGCTCGCCCACGGAGCACGGCCGGGTGCCGTCAGCCAGGGCAGGGCCTGACACAGGACACGCTGCGCGACCGTCCACGGCGGCCCCGGCTGGCTTCTGGGCTAGGGGTGCGGCTGGAGGGGCAGGATGGGGCGGTGGGGACAAGAGACTCACAGCTCTCGCAGCCGCCGCTGAGGTCCCCGAAGACGTAATAGCACTGCTCGGAGAAGGTGATCTTGTTCACGGTGTGCCGGATGAGGCCCGCCTTGAGCAGCCCGCTCGCGTACTTGCGGGCCTCCCGCCGCTCGGGAAAGCCTTCCACGTGATGGTAGAGCCAGTCGACCACGTCCGAGCCTGGGAGCGCCCGAGCAGAGAAGCGCTCAGCTCCTCCTCCCGGACTCCTGCCTCACCCCTGCCTGCGCCGTTCCCAGCTGGGGCCTCCTCCGGCCCCCGCTCCTTCCCATACCACCCGTCCAGGACCCAGCCATACCCAGAAAGGCATTAGGGATGGTGATCTTGAGCCACATGCGGTCCCGAACTTCCAGCCCAGACTCTGGAGCTGCCATGGCCTTGGTCACAGATGCCATGTCCGTGTGGATGGAAAGACCCCGGCCTTCACAGCCTGTGCGGAAAGAAACGGGTCTGAGGTAGGGCCCACTGCCAAGCAGCGGCGGGCACAGCTCCGGTGAGAGGCCTTCCGGGGAGGGAACAGTAAGGTGGGCTGGAGGCTCACCCTCAGGCAGAGAGGACCCCGACGTCATGGTGCTCATGGACGAGGAGCCGGGATAGGCCGGGAAGGTGCCGGTCAGCGCGGCGGAGTGGGACACCCAGGCGGCAGGGTCGATGGGCTGGATGGGCTCGTCTGGGACAGAGAAGGCCCCTGCGACGATCATTTCCCTGCCGCTCCCTGACTGACTCCCATCCCACCTCTGCCCTGACCCTCCTCCAGCCCTTCCTGCCGCCTGGAGGCCCAATCCCGGCTCCCCAGTCTCCTGACCCCTCCCCAGTCTCCTGCCCCCGCAGCACTCACTTCGAGGAAGAGTGAAATAGGCCTGGGGAGAGGGATCCCAGCACTTGGCCACCGTCAGCACGATGGGGCTGTGGGGAGGGTGGAAGCAGTCACGCGGGGTGGTGCAGGGGAGGCGGGGCGGGCCTTGGGAGGGCGGAGGGCAGAGAACTAGGACAGAGCAGAGACCGCAGACGGGGCTGGGCTGCAGGGCTGAGGCGGGGAGGCTCTGGCGCAGGGGACCCACTGACAGCGACAACTCTAGAAACGCCGCCGACAGGTGCGAAGGAACACACGGTCAGGGTCCCTCCGGAGCCGGTCCGGGAACAGGGACGCTAAGCCACGCCGTTCGCGGATGGGGACGGGGACGGGGACGGACATGTGCACGCACACCACACCCGGGGGTAAGACCGCGCAGACACAGAGCGACGGACGAGGGCAGCGAGAGCGGGGAGGGGACTTCGGAGGCATGCAGGTGGGGGTCTCGCGGGCACGCCCTCGCCCCGTGGGCATCGGTCACGTTACGCGGCCGTGCCCCGCACGCTCCCCAGACCCGCGTGGCCGCGGGCCGGGGCGGCAGACGAGAGGACGGGGCCGCCGGCTCACCCGGGCTTGTGCACGATGTCCCGCAGGACCCGGACTGCGTCGTCGTTGCTCATGTTCTCAAAGTTCATGTCGTTCACCTGGAAGCCGGGCCGGCGGGTCAGGGGCGGCCGCCCGGGGCGCACACCCCGCCGCCCACGGTCCCAGGGCAGCCCACCTGCAGCAGCATGTCGCCCGGCTCGATGCGCCCGTCGGCCGCCACGGCACCCCCCTTCATGATGGAGCCAATGTAGATGCCGCCGTCACCCCGCTCGTTGCTCTGGCCCACGATGGAGATGCCCAGGAAGTTGTACTTCTCTGCGGAGGGCGCGCACATGACGAGGGGAAGCCCGCCCGGCGCGCGACAACCCCCCCGGCCCCGCGCCCCCTCGTACCCATGTTCAGCGTGACGGTGATGATGTTGAGAGACATGGTGGAATCGGTGACGCTGCTAAAGGACGAGGCCTGTGGGGGACACGGGGAAGGAGCTGGGCTGCCTCCGAGGACCCGGGGCCGAGCCCCAGAGTCTCACTTCCTGTGCCCCGGGCCCCCTAAGCCCGGGCCCCCAGCTTCTCCAAGGTCCAGCTGTCCCGCGACAAGCCCCTCACCCTCTCCAGGCGCGGCGGCCGCTGTTTCCTCCGCCGCCGGTGGCGCTTGAGGAGGCGGGAGGCACTGCTCTGCTCTGTGGAGCTGCTGAACCTGTCAGGAGGTCGGGAAGGGGAGCTCACAGGCAGACGAGGTTGGGGGGCGCCCGGCAGAGGGATGGGAGGCGCGGCTGCGGGCGGGAAGCGAAGGGGGGGGCCGTACCTGCTCATGGTGTCGTCCTCGTCTGAGTCCCCCAGGCTGGTGCTCTCCAGCTCGCTGGTCATGAGGGTGGAGGAGCTCTCATAGCCAGCCAGGTGGCGCTCCAGCCTTGAGGGGCCACTGGGCCTGTGGCCCCCCGCTGCGTGCGAACGGGACCCTCAGGAGCCCAGGCCTCGGGCTGCTTCCCCTCGTCGCGCCTCGGGCCGAGCCCTCGCCCTCCCCAGCCCCGGCGCACCCTCGGGGGCCTGCCCCCCTCACCGCCGTGCTCACTGCTGTCTCTCCTGCGAGGCCGTTCCCGCCGCACAGACACTACCGACTCTGTCTCGGTCTCAGGCTCCAGGTTTTCCCGGCTGCTGGACACATTAGGGCTGGGTGGGCAGAGACGTGTCAGGGGGACGGGACTTCAAGTCCTCAACTGTCCCCCCCTCCCCGGGGGCTTGAGTCCCCTCCTCACCTCCCTCCCCTGGACTCAAGAATCCCAAAGACTCACTGGAAGGACGGAGGCCTGGAGTCCCCAATGCCGCTGGTCCTCTCCGGGGGCAACGGGGGTAACGGTGGGGGGGGGTGGCGCCAGTTCGGGCCGAGGCTCGTGGGCTGGGGGAGCCATCTCAGGTTGGGGGTTATCTGACGACACCAGCTGGAAAGAGGCAATGACAAAACCCGGCTCAAGCAGGAAGGGAGGCATCTGAGGTGGGAGTAAAGGAAGGGACTCGGGGAGAGGACAGGGTCTGAGCAAGCCCACGGCCGGCGGAAAGCACCGAAAAAGCAGGAGCGAGCAACAGAGGCTCCAGAAGAAGGCTGAGCAGCTCCAGCTGGCTCTCCGAGCCGGTGAGGCAGCAAGGAGCCAGGGCCTCCAGCTCCTGGGCAGGGGGCACACTGAGGCTCAGAGGAGTCCGGCGGCTGCAGGGGGGACGGGGGCGCTCACCCAGGACACCACCCTTCCGTTGAAGCAGGGCAGGCGGGCGTTGTCATCCGAAATCTCCTCCTTCACCACCCTGCCGAGAGACAGCGAGACAGCATGAAGGCCAGTGAGAATGGCCTAGCGCCCCCCACAGGCACCCCCGTTCGAGGCTTCTCCCGATCTTCGTCCAGGTCAAGGACGCTGACTTTCCTGCACCTTGACCAAGTCCTCGTCCCTGACGCTGAAATGCTTCTTCGCTCTCACACCTAGGAGTTTCCAAATTCGCCCCCTTTCCTTCCTTCTCCTCCTCTCCCCAACTCATCCTCAGGTTTTTACATTGCTCCAAAGGTTTCCTGAGTCTCAGTCAAACCTCTCACTCCAATC